AGCGGGAACCGGTCTGTATGTGGGATCCGAACCCTCGGCGGGAGCGCCGCCGCACTCCCAAGCGGCGCACTGTAGCAGTGCGCCACCGGGCTGGCCCCAGGACCCATTTTTTTTATGACCTTATGGGAAAAAAATAAATAAATGATAATCTTAAACTATATTTATGGCATTATTTCTCATTTCTCCTTTATAGATCCCCTACACAAAGGTAGAATTCATTAGTCCTTATTTTTTCCCTTTCTGTTTTTCCTCCCTTCAAGTCATTTTCTCTGCTAATTCTTCAGACTACCTATCAAATTATAGCCAAATTCTTCAATGCCCATGTCAGATATCATGTAATCTATTAAATATTCTCTCTCCACTGAGGTCTGATAAAACCCTCTCTCCTCTGAAATCTCATTTGTTGTTCTTTCGTGTCTATTAGGTACTTACCAAATATTGTTTTGTACTGTAGTTATTTGAGTGCAGTCTCCTCTCTCCTCTTGGCATTTAGGCTCCCTGAAGAGACCATGTCTGGTTCATTCTATAACCCTCCGCCCTGTCCTAACCCCAGTACGTAATTAGGGAAATTTCTAGCACAGAGAAGTCATTCAATGAATATCAAACAAATATGAAGTGTGAAGAATAAAATGAGGATACAGATAGCCAAACTCCAACAAAAATGACTGTACCTACTGATGTGCAAAGAAAAGTAGAAGTTCGTGGGGTTGTGACAAATGTAAGTATTAGTACAAACTACTAAAAGGAAATTGAAGATAACTGTCAATAATTCCAAGGCTGGAGGCAATCCAAGGATTTCTTTTTTTTTTTTTTTTTTTGTCTTTTTCCATGTCCGGCAACGGATCGCAACCCTCAGTGTCGCCCCCGCACCGGACCGGGACCGGCAACGGGATCGCAGCCCTCGGCGCTGCTCCCACACCTCACTCAGCCAGTGAGCGGGAACCGGTCTGTATGTGGGATCCGAACCCTCGGCGGGAGCGCCGCCGCACTTCCCAAGCGGCGCACTATATCAGTGCGCCACCGGGCCGGCCCTAAGGATTTCTGCTATAATTTTCAAAAATGATCTCCAACCTCTCGGGGCATGGATGTAAGCTGCCCCTCTTTGTGTTCCTGAAAAAACAAAAATCAACTCTCTTTAGATTTAAAGACAACTGCCAACTTAACTAAGATTTTTCATTTAAGCAACATATTCTTCTTAAGATAGAATTCTGTTGGTTTACTACTGTAGTCTGATTATATTGACCATTGAGTTGCTATTTCTCAATTCAAGCGAACTTGCTATTAAAAATTCATTAAAACTGAGGGCAACTTATTTCTGGTCCAGTTATCTTGACTAAGTGAGGCAAAGTTATACTTTAGCACTCATGAGCATTTACTCAGAAGCCAAACTGCCAAGGTTTGCATTCTGGCCCCTCCACTCACACTAGCTGTGTGGTCTTAGGTATGTTATTTAACATCTCTATGCCTCAGTTTGTCTATAATATGGGGATAATACAAGGGTAATTCAAAAAGTTCATGAAAAAACAGAATGGAAAGATAATACAAATTTTTTCATGAGCTTTTTGAAGTACCCTTGTACTAGTGCTACTTCATAGAGTTATTTTAAGGATTAAATGACAAACTATTGGAACAGTGCCTCACATAGTAAGCTCCATATAAATATTAGTTACTGTGAGTACTATCATTACTACTATTAAAATTACTACTTCTTTTTCTTCTTCTACTACTACTACTACTATCACCACCATCACCACCACCGCTACTACTGCTACTACTACTATGGGAAAAAGAGAGAAAATTTCTGATAGACAAAACTAGTTACATTAATATAATGTGCTCCAGATTACAAAGCTCTTTCTCACAAAAGCTCTCTGAGAGGTTTTATCCCTCATTTCTAGAATATGAGGCTCAAAGTGGTTATTTGACTAGTTTAAACCACATAGAAAATAAGTAAGTAGTACAAGTAAAATTCAGACTCAGGCCTCTGAACTCTTTCTACTGCATCATCTACTGCCTGGAATAATGAGACTTGGTAGAATGCCAAGTAATGACTAAAAATAAAGATGGATATAAATACATTGCTTATATCCTCCAATTCTGCCTCACTAATGGGCAGCCTCTACATCAAGGGTATGGGAGGTAAACTTCCTCATCTTCCCTCTCCCTATGTCCAAATACATATCTCTACATCCACTCTTCTTCATTTACTCTTGTGTATTGCTGAATCAGAGGACTTATTTTAATTTTGAAACAATTTAGTCTGACTACCTCAGATTTAAGAAGAGAACACTTAGTCTACAGAATAAAACATAAAACCCCTGAAGCTCCCATTTAAAGAGAATCAAACTCTATGAATTCCTTAATATATTGTCTTTCATATTCTCTGTATTTTTACATTCCCATTTTTATCACCTTCATTCAGGTTCTTTATACTGTACTCACAAACTAATAAAACTGCCTCACATCTAATATACTACCAATTTGTTAATCTTCCTGAAATACCATAAAGACTCTAAGACATCTTAAAGGGAAAGACTAAGTTCATTTCTTTATATACTTCCCATAATACCTAACATAAAGCTGTGCTTAATAAATAGCTATTAATTTCAAAAAAGAGGTCTCTGAAGGAAGAAAGGTAAAGAAATATACTTTTTAGGAAAAGAAATTGGTACCAAGATTTTTCTAGCATTTTTATAAGTAATATGGAAGTGAAAACACTGAAAATATTAAAAATATTGAAATCTCCAAGTTTATAAGTGCTACTTTTCTGACATGAAAAGACTGAATAAGAATAACCACTGTAGTATGAACTTACTAAAAATTGGCCAATATACAAAGAAACAGATTTAGAGGAAAACTGATGCATAAATGATGCATAAAACATTCAGTACACAGGAGTCTGAGAAACCACCACATCGTATTTCTGAAGACAATAGTTTAATTTACCATAGAGACCAAGAAAGGCAATAAAATGTTTTGGGTTTTTTTAGAGTTCATTCATTGCACAAATATTTATTGGGTGCTTATGTGTGCCAGATACTGGGGTTACAGTGTGATCAACAAAAAATATACCCCTGTCCTCAGGAGGTTTACAGAGGAATCCTGTTTATAATTTCATAAACAACATAAAACTAACAAATTATATGTGCATGGAGTGAGAGTAAGTTCATAAAAAGAGGAAGGAGTTAATTAGATGGGAAGGGCAGAGAAGGCTTCTCCCTGGAAGTAAGTTTTAAGTTGTGCATGAAGAATAAGCAGGAGTTGGCCAGGAAAGAATGAGATCAATAACTTTTAAGGCAAAAAGAACATCATGTACCTGAGGTGGGAAAAAGCCTCACTTGTTTAGGAAGGGAAAGAAAGCCAGGAGGGCCAAGTGGTATAAGATGAGGCAGAAGGGCAGCCAAATCATAAAAGCCTTCTTATGGATGTTGTCATAGATTGCGGATTTTAGCCCAACTACAACGAGAAACTCCTAATGCCACTGAAGCAAAGGTGCTAAAAACATAAAATATTACTGATCCCACAGAACATCTGTACTTATCTAACTTGACAAAATTCTAATAGAGGCCTCATACATTAAAAAAAAAAAAAGAGTTGGAAAATAGTCTAATATACCAACCAAACAGATAAAAGGACATCTATAAAGGCAGAGAAAAACAATTTAACTAGAAGCCAGGCCACAGCACAGACATCACAATATAACTGGTAAATTTAGTGCCATTTTTTAACATAATATTTTGGATATATTTTCAAGATGCTAATTCTAGCATATAAAATAGACCTTCAGCAAATTCATATTTATTAAAATAATACATATTTGTAAGGTGTTATATAAGGGATATGGAACGAGTTAAAATTCATCAACTATTGTTGATGTTCAAGAGACTGCAAAATTATTACTATATCCCAACATAAACATCTCAGAAATTCAGTAGTAGTTGTTCTTTTGTAACTGAGTTAGGAATGATGACAGTGTAAAGATTAGGTTGTAAGAGGCAGGAGTTGAAAAACTATTTCTTGAAAGAGCCAGGAGAACAGAGAAGATGAAAAGGAGGAAAAAAATCCCATTGAAAGTCCCCAAAATTTGATATCCATAGTACAGAGTTATTAAACAGAAACAACTACAAAAAGTATCTCCAAAAGTAAAATAACATGAAAAGTACCTGCCAAACCTGACAAGTCAGTAGAAAGTGATGAACCACTCACGCTTTCAATAACTGCTTAATGTTAAACATCTGCTGGTAGTGATCTGCTCGGATGAGACCTTCCAAAGCCACTAGCAGGGTTTCCCAAACACCTGCTGAGAAAATAAACACACACCAATTAGCTGAAAAACATGCTGTATGCTTTTTAGAACACACACAATATAACAGTTTAACACTGTGTATGTATTTACTGTCAAAGATTAAATTTGCCTGAAAAAAACAAATCATAAGATTTATCCTCTATTATTTTTTGTTGTCAACAGGTCATTTCTAAATACCTATGTTGAATGCAATACTATATTCAGTACTTTAGTATATTATGCTTTCTGTGATGTTAAATGATACGTAAGTATTTTCAAAAGGTGAATGATCTTGAGAGAATTATTCAAATTAGAGAAGCCTATATAAGACCAATATAATCGTTTTCAAATAATTTATGTTCAAAGAATGTTATCAAAAATGTATAAATTTCAGTGCTAATTGGCATATGCAGCATTTAACGAAATAATTTTAGAATAGTACTAAATTGAAAAGTCACACTGTGAAAATTCTGCATTTTTGGATTAATTTACTTTTCAGTACAAAATAAAATTCTCTGCACAATTACAAACTGCATCTTCAAAGAGTAGTTAGCATCCTTTAAAGGTGCTTTAAAATACTCCTGCCATATTGAATCAATCTTAAATCATCCAAAATACTAGAGAAAAAGAACTTACATAGACAACTAATATTGAAAGATAATCTTCACCTCACCTTATTACCCTAACTGACCTTTCAACAAAGCAGTTAACAAGAAGCAAAATTAACTAGCTTGGGTTGCAGATCTTACTATTTTCTTCTGCCATTATCGGACAGTAATGAACAATAAAAAGGCCACGGAATTGATGGACTTACTCATACTACTCTAACCAAGGCCTTTCTCTTCATAGATGGAACTAAGATGCCCTAAAAGAAAAAGCCATATGAAAACTGGAAGACAAGGCAGTGTAAGTATGAAAACTTGATTCAAACGGGTTTGAAAAATAGTGTCAATGTAAACAAATTATCACCACCAACAACAAAGCAACAAAAATCAAACTCAGTTCAAAAACCACTTAATTAGATAAATATTTCAAATCCAAAAGTGTTTTATTACTTTTGAATTCAATAAAAAATGTTTTTTATCAGACAACACCAAATTCGCTTGTTCTTTCGAAATACTAAATAAGCTATTTGTTCCTCATTATTTAGATTTCCCAATCTGCAACTGAGCATATTCTTTATTATATATTTATACTGCCTTTGATCTAATTTGTTTATGTATGCTATCCCTGCATTTATTTGCTTTCTCTCCCTGCAATATTACACATATTTTTACCTACTTATCTATCTCTATGGTTATTTCAGGTTTAAAAGAGAATATTCAAAATGAGAATAGACATCACAACAAATTACATAGTTTAAAAAACTGACAAATACCATAAATATAAAATACAGAAAAATAGCAATAGTTTGGGCCGGCCCGGTGGCGCACTGCTACAGTGCGCCACTTGGGAGCGCGGTGGTGCTTCTGCCGAGGGTTTGGATCCCACATACAGACCGGTTCCCG